TATATTATATATATATATAAATATATAATATATTATATATATATATAAATATATATATATATATATATGTGTGTGTGTGTGTACGAGTGTCCTTTTATATATACATGTACATATTCAAATACACATNTAAAAAGTTCACCTACCTGCGTTGGCCCTGATGTTGACCGGGGCATCGGCTGCTTTTGCGTAGGTGTTTGACCCACATATGTGGCCTGCCCCTGCGTCTTCTGTGCGTGTGCCTGTGCCTGTGCTTGCATCTGTGCGCGTACCTGTGCTTGGGCTTGCTGCTGTACCACCACCTGCTGTTGTAACGCGCCCTGTGCCTGTGTGGTCGGTTGTGACACCTGAGCCACTACCTGTGAGGGTATCTGTGGTTGTGCTTGTGGGTCTGTTTGCGTGCGCATAAGCGGATTCTGCGCGGGTTGCTGCATTCTCTGCTGCTGCTGCTGCCGTTGCTGTGCCGCTTGTTGCCCGTTTGGCTGTGGGGTGTATGTCTGCATATGTGTCTGAGTCTGAGTCTGAGTCTGTGTCGGTGTCTGTGTCGGTGTCTGTGTCGGTGTCTGTGTTAGCCCGGGTTGATTGAGCTGCATCCCCTGCGCTCCGCTGTTCCCGTGGTGCTGGCTCTGTGCCTGCTGTAGTTTCAGTGCTCGAGACTTTCTCAGTACCACTTCTCTGCGACGATGTTCCCTGATGGTCGCTTCATAAGTTTCACGCTCCTCTTGGGGCAGATCCATGAGAAACATTTTGTGTTTATAGTATTCCAGCTGTGATTGTGATGCGTTGGGGTTTGAGCATCGCGCTTGAGTATACGTATATGAGCGTAACATGTGGATTGAAACTGTAGAGTTTTAGGGTTTTAGGGTTTCAGGGTTTTCGTACACAACACTAAATCGAGTATTTGTATATAGAAATATATACTAAGGTATAAATATACTTCAACGAACATGGGTATAGATTGACACCCCTTCATCTTTTTAAAACTGGCATCAATCCAAGCGGTCGCGTATACCTCACACTGAGTCGGTGATGTGCACAGACAAACGATATACATTTCCGTGACAACACACATATACACTGCATCATCGCCAACACATACCAGCACATTTGAGGTACACTTATGAGTAAGGCAGTCCCTTCATTCTCGTAAACACATGAAGAAAGTACACAAACACAGCAGTACGTATACTAGCCACATCTCATTCATTCTCGTATGTAGATGAAGAGAGTACATAAACACAGCAGTACGTATACTAGCCACATCTCATTCATTCTCGTATGTAGATGAAGAGAGTACATAAACACAGCAGTACGTATACTAGCCACATCTCATTCATTCTCGTATGTAGATGAAGAGAGTACATAAACACAGCAGTACGTATACTAGCCACATCTCATTCATTCTCGGATGTAGATGAAGAGAGTACATAAAAACGGCAGTGCGTATACTAGCCACATCTCACATACCACGAGCGTTCTGTGACTATCCGCCTCCTCCTCGGTCAGCGGGTCCTTACTCGCCAGTTTCTCTTGTAAAATGATAATCGGCTGCGGTGTGTGTGTATGTAAGGGGGGGGGGGGGGTGCACTCGGTTAATACGATATGTGTGCGCATTACGGGGTTGTATGTAACATGTACAGACACGTGGTCATGCATGGTTTGTATGTATATAGCTGCCCGGTACATATGGTAGCATAAACTTGAATGTATATCGCCTAACAGACACCTCCGAACTAAAGTATACAAACTATCAACTAAACACACGAATGCATTGGCTTCATTTAATCGTTCACCACTTACATATCCCTGCCCTGAAAAAGACTCGCATCATGTCAAGAGTGGTTTGGCTGAAGGATAGTCGCAAAGGCGCACACTGTTATAGTATAGCGCCACACACCTACATCATACTGATCATCTATATTTACCACAGGGTTCTTCCCCCACACACCCACCCCCATACCCCTATCAGATTACTCATGTGCTGAAAGCTTGGCGGCAGGCTGCCGGCACTGCCCAGCACCGCCAGCTCGGCCACGTGTCGCTTGAACTCAAGTAAGGCTGCCTTGGGCTCAGAGAGGGTGGCCTTGAGATAATCCTGCGTCTGATGTAGTGTGCGGGGGCTCTGTGTTGCAGACGCCTGTGTTGCCTGCGCAGACGACGATTGGGCTGTAGGGTAGAGGCACATGGGGAGATTGTATTAGAAATTGTATGTGTATACGTGTAGTCGGAGAGAATGTATATGTGTGTGTTTGCTTACATACGTGTTTGGTGTGCTGTGTTAGTTGTAGTAGTAATCGTATTCACATACGTATGTATAGTCGGAGATGTGCATATGTGTGTATTTGCGTACATAAGTGTTTGGTGTGCTGTGTTAGTTGTAATAATAATCGTATTCGCATACGTATAGTCGGAGATGTATTTATATGTGTGTTTACTTACATACGTGTTTGGTGTGCTGTGGTAGTTGTATTAGTAATCGTATTCGCATACGTATAGTCGGAGATGTGTCTATGTGTGTGTTTGTTTATATACGTGTCTGGTGTGCTGTGATAGAGGGCTGTGTGTTATAGGCATGGTTGTACCCTATGCAGGTGTCTGTTCGACTGTTGAGGGCGTATGTCGGGTGCTTGCATTGGTGTTCTGCCTCACATATACGTAGTCGATAGTCAAAGATAATTATTCTCGGGCGAGTTTGTTCACACACGTGTCTGGTGTGCTGTGTTGGGGCTGTTTGTATCAGTATTCGTACTCTAATTGGTATACTCGCCGATGTCATTTCGTGCGTGTTTATTTATCGCACGCTTGTTTGGTGGGCTATGCTAGGGGTGTGTGCTACAGACACGCCTGTTCAATGTACGTACGCGTGTGTCTGCTGACAACTGGTTGTGAATATCGGCCGATGCCACAGCATTACACCACATCCATGCGCAACACGTGCAGGTGCAAAATACGACAAGAATAGGTCTCTACACAGTTTATCCACGCAGACGATGGACGCCCGTACGCACGCACGCACGCCCGCACGTCCTATCATACGTGGTATAAGCATCTCTTGGGAGACGATACTTCCATCCTTTGTGGTGGACTGTACCATAGACCTGCCTAAAAATATAATGCGATGGGCAGGGCCGGCATGTAGAGTCCCGTGCGTGTACATCTGACACACCCTTCCAACACCGTACAACCTGCATGTATAGCACCATACAAGCCAATACACATACAGTGACAACACACCACCCTCGCCTGTAAGATAGGCCGTACTATATACCTGTGCGATGCACACACACGCATGTACTGCCGCATACAACACACACACGCTCCATCACACACATGTCATGCACACCTTGTGGTAGTTTGTCATCCTCGCCTGTCCGGTCGATTGTACCATTTATCGCTTGAGCTACCACTTCTGGTTTGAAGGTGAAGTTTGTTGGGTTTTGCAAGCCAGCGCTTGTGCGTGTGTTCGATTGACTTACTGGGGCAGTAGTGGAAACAGGAGCGCTGTTGGTGGACGGTCGTTTGGGCTGCAGTGTAGAGAGGCCAGAAAAAGATATGAATATACACTGACAGATAAACAATGACGTTTCCTACCTATTTGCTAGTCGGTGTATAGTTGCGTCGGACACAAACGTACAGCTCAGGAAAGTGATAAAGTAGCGAATAGATACCTATACTTCTATACATATATATATATATATATATATATATATATATGTATTATTATATGTATATATATTATATATATATATATATATATATATATATATATATATATATA